TGTAACAGTTATTCTGAAATAAGCCCAAAAAATTAATCATCCATTACAATGTGGTATTTTTTCTAAAAGGAGAAAGTAGATTTTTTTAATACAGCAAATACATTAAGAATGGTGAAACTTAATGTGAAAAATAAATAATGTTCTTTCCCCCTCGCCTTTTCTGCATTTGTATGAAAAAAGAACACAGTACTTCAGATTAAGCTGGTTTGAGTTTTCTGTTTCTTCTCAGACTACCTTGATTATTAAACAAGTATGTTATCAGTAACAACTTACATAGCATTCTTTGGAAGTGATTACTGCTGGGGTTGTTTTTTAGATTCTGTCTACAGTTTTTATTCCTAAAGCAGAAGTAAGGAGGGCTTGAGAGATGGTGAGAAGATAAAATTGAGGGAGGTTATGGTTGTGCCACGAACCTGAATCGTTTCTGTTTGCAGTGTGCTCCTCTTGCAGAGGAATTGAAGGTGATATTTCCATCGCCTTTCCAGGCATTCCCTTCTTCAGTCGTTCTGGTTTCTTACTGTAACAGATATCTTATTTTTAAAGATACAAGTATTATTTGAGAATGCAGGGTGTTTATATTCCCTTTCTTTTCTTGTTATTTCTCTTCTGCTTCCTAAGAAGTATTTAGAGAAAATGGAAGTGCATGCTAGGTTTATATAGTTTATTTGATTACAGGAAGGAATTAAAAGAAGGAGTTATCTTGCTGTTATGTTTTAATTGTTTGTACTAAGTACAAAGCAGTTGTTGCAGCCTTCTTTTTCCTATTATTGCATTCCCTCTGAAATATCCTGCTCTCACTTCACTTTGGTGTTTGTAGTTTAAGGTATGCAATGTCGTTTAGATCAAACGTAATTTAAAACTATATTCACTCTAAAATTTTACATTCACGTTGATAAATTACTCCATTTTCAAAAAAAATGAAAGTCTCATTAAACAATTGATCTGTTGAATGTCTACATCAATATCTTCGATCACTTTCCCAGAACAGTCATCAAAAAGCTTTAAGTATTATAAAGACTTTTTTCCAGCAAATCAAAACTAGCCATGTAATATTTAATTATTCTTGTCATATAGTGTTTTCTTACAAAAATAACGAAGGTTAATGTCAACCAGAAGTTAGCACTATTTTTCTTTGCCAAGTAGAGCATTCATACTGTGCCAGATTCCATCATGGTTTTTAAGAAGCTTTTCTCTTTTTTTTCTGGAGGGAGGGGTTATTGGGCTGGATATGCTTACTATCTCACATATCAGGTATATTTTCTTGAGTTGTTTGATTAAACGCAGTACAGCAGGAAATACAGTAATCTAGACTCAGCTTTTCTATTAAATTTCATGGAATCATAAAATATTTTAGATTAGAAAGGACCTCTGAAGGTTGTCTAGTTCAACGGTCTGCTCCAAAGGACTTGTTCAGTTCACTGTCATGGTAATTAATGAATAAATTAAAAAGAAAATCCAATTTCCCCAATTCCAACTTGTGTTTGCTGTCTCTTGTCCCTGTCTCTTGCCCTATTGCGGTGCTCCTCCAAGAACGGTCTCGCTCTCTCTTCTGTGTCCTTGATCAGGTAGCTGTAGACAGCAGTAAGGTCTCCCCTTCCCCTTCTCCTCTCCAGGCTAAAAAAAGCCAGCTCTCTTGGACTCTCTTGGTATATCGTGTGCCGCTTGGTATGTCTAGCTCCTTTACTAGCTTGGTGGCTGTCTGCTAGACTTGATCTTTAAGGCATTTAGAAATTCATGAAAGCAATTTTGTGAACTTTTTTGTTTGTTTGGGATATATACGTCTCTTTACAAGTTTGCTGAGAGAGACAATAAAATATTAAACAGTAATCTTAAAAACATTGAGATTATTTTATGCAATTCTTCAGATGATGACTATTAATTTACATTTGTTAGGTTTATTTAAAATCAGATCGTGAAGTAATATTAGAAGTATTTTTTGTCTCTGCTACCCTTTAGTAATGCTGACACACATTTTCAGTGAAGAGGAATGGTGGTGGTGTGAGTGGTCTGATAGCAGCTTTAATGACTGTCAGTATAAAATGACGAGTTTTCTTCCATCTTTCTCAAAATTATTTACTGTTTTTAAAATACAATACCTTTTGTTACGTAAGCCTCTAGAAATGTTGTGTCTCGTTGTGTTTTGGTATGAGATATACTCTTGCCTTGCAACTAATTCAGTCATTTGTTGAAATTAAAATTTTACAAAAATATTACTTTAAGGCAAAGACTAAGCATGAGAATTAAAACCTAAAGTGAATTAATTTGGGGAAAAATCTCTACAAAATTATTTTGTGTGATTTATGAAGAAATATCTTCTCAATCTGAACTGCAGTGTACAGTACACAATTTTAAAGCATATAGGAATAAAATTTTTAAAAATCAAAAATTAACCAGTAATTTATTCACATTGCGGCATACATTGAGGGCCCACCTACGGAGAATTTCTAGGAAAAAGTCGTAACCTTACTGAAAAAATCCCACAGTATGACCTTAGATAACGTTCAGATTTTTTTTTCCCGTTTTTAAAATGTAGTGATTTGTATCTTAAGTCATGAGCATAAATTTAATTGTATCAAAGAACATGCATGTTTTTCAGTTAAGGTTATTTTTACAAAACACATAGATGTACTACAGCACCAGGTGATAACTGATTGTCATAGACAACTGAACATCTGGTGTTAATGCCGTTGTCTCGGTTTATAAAATACTGATCATTTACAAGTAAATGACAAGAAAAGAAAAAAAAGTGCAATCTTCATGAAAATATAAAGAAATACATACTATATTGTAATTTGCAGGGATTTTTGTAACTGAGAGTGACTGTAATAAGTACAAACTGAAAGAAACGGTGATTTTTGTACATGGTATTTCCCAAGAATAAATGCAAAGTACTTAAATGCTATTTGTCCTCTGTTAAATAAAGTAATACAGGCTATTGGAAAAAATCCCTGAAAAAGTGTAAGAAGTTGTTTAAGAGACTATGGGGGGAAAGAATGTACTCTTTAACTACAGTATTGAGCTAATTACAGGACAGTATTTTTTTATGTACATAAAAGGCAAACATGACACAAAGATAAATAGTTCTAGATCTACTTAAGTGTTTTATATTAGAGTAATGTTTAAAGTTCAGTGATGAGGCAAAATGCATATTTCTAAAACTATTTTATCTATTTTTCACAGTTCCAGTTATTTACTAACACAGACATAAAATAAATGATCTGTAAAACAGAGTCCTTAAGTTGTCTGACAGTTTCTTGGATGTTCTTTTTATTCAGTCGTTTGGCCAAATCACTGTTATATCAGGTTGACGCTTTAGACTTTGTGTCTGGTTGAATAATACGAGCTTTATCTGATCAAGGCTATTGCAATTCAGGAATTGTATTGAACTGATCCCCTCAGAACACTAGCGCATATTTTCTGGGCTTGAAAATGAGACAAGTTGCAGATGTGTGTTTATATGCTTGGCAAATTAAGTCTTTGAAAACTATACAATACATAATTCACATAATGCAAAAAGCATTTAGAAATCTGCTGGTCGAATCATCATAGTCGTGGCTTTGAGAGAGTATCCCGAGCCTTTCCAGTAGTACCACTTGATACCGTTGAACTTGTTGTTGTTCTGTCGCAATGGGTAATACATTCCGTTGAGGTTAGAAGGACCACATGCATCAAACCACCATCCTACAAGACAGGAAACAAAGAAAAACATCAGCAGAGGTAATTTTAAAAATAGTATATAAGGATACTTTGTTGTCCTGAAATAAGAAAGAAATCTAAACCCAGTTTTTCATTCTTATGATTTGGAAGTGTCAGTATAAAATACTTGCCTCAAATTCAGAAAAGAAATGAATTTATATATTAACTACATATTCTTGAAGCTTATTTAATATATTGTAGTTTAAAATTGAGAAGGGAAGGTATTCAATCCAGCTTAATTTATTATCGATATCAAACATTATTTTTGACAGTCTGAGGGCAGAACTCAACTTGAACTATAATGAAATTGAGTCATCTTTGGTTTTTATCTGCTCTTTAGTAAATTCCCATTCTTCACAGATTTGAACTCCTTTCTTAATTATTTTTAGAGGATTAAGTCAGTTATCTGTTTCAGTTCTCTGTGCAGATC